TTCTCCAGTGAGCGTTGCGATAAAGAAACAAAAAAAAAAAAAAAAAAAAAAAAAAAAAGAAAAAAAGTGTGTGTGGGGGGGGGTGGAACAACAAATATAGCTGAGATTTTTCTCAGATATGAACAACTTCAATAACTGAAGGTTTAACCCAGAGCAAAGTTGAACAGTATCAGGGTTAGCTCTATGATAGACAAGACACTAAAGCTGAGCTCTGGAGCACAAGAACAAGCCTGGTTTACCAGTTCTGCTTTGATTTTCTGGCTCTGCTGTCATGAGGGGGGGGTGGAACAACAAATATAGCTGAGATTTTTCTCAGATATGAACAACTTCAATAACTGAAGGTTTAACCCAGAGCAAAGTTGAACAGTATCAGGGTTAGCTCTATGATAGACAAGACACTAAAGCTGAGCTCTGGAGCACAAGAACAAGCCTGGTTTACCAGTTCTGCTTTGATTTTCTGGCTCTGCTGTCATGAACACTTCCAAAAGAAGCCAGAATTATAACATGCAGGCAAACATTAACCTAAAAACTTGTAACTGGGAAAAAAAAAAGTTCTGTCTCAGCAGTCAGCTCAAGGACCTGAAGGTCTCTGAAGCAGCTAAGCTCAGAAATCTGTTTTCCAGCACATCACAATGCTGGAAACGTCTAAAATCAGATTCATCTGCAACAGGAAGACATTCTAAACCATCACGTTAAGGTCTTTGGGGCCTAAAAGACTTTGGAGCCCGCAGTGTACAGAATGGGGTACCACGCCATTTTCAAGAAAGTGATTCCATCACTAGTAAGCATTTTAAATAACCACTGAACTGAGATTTTGAAGACAACAGAACAACTAGTTGGGAGATGACTGGCTCAGCAGCCACTAGTGGGAGCTGCTGTGCTGCTGGAGGAAAGCCCTGCACGGTCCAGAAACGTATTTTTAAAAGCTGTGTATAGATGGAAAACCAATCCCTAAACCCTCATGTTGATCACCGTGAACCCTCGTTAAGGCAAGAAACTTCTCTCGGTAGTTTAGGATCCCCACAGATGAGGGGCAGCGTACCGACACGTGTCTGCGCAGGGTGGACATGTCGGTGAAGGTCCTCTCACAAGCTCTGCACTTGTAGGGCTTCTCCCCGGTGTGGATGCGCTGGTGGCGGCGGAGCGCGCCCTGCTGGGTGAAGGTCTTCCCACACTGCTCGCAGAAATAGGGCCGCCTCTCTGGAAAACAAGACAAAACCGGGAAGCAGAGTTAGGAGGCAGGTTCTTTTTGGCCTTGATTTCAGAAGACAAACGGCTTGAAGAAGTTTTAAACGCTCAGTATTGAGAACATGGTGTATGTAGCAGAGATGCTCTTGAGGCCTTGGTTTTTAAGATGATAAATCTTTCTTGCCGTGTTTCTTGGAAAAGCCAGAGAACAGCTCTCTGATCTTGGAAGGGGAAGAGCAGGAACCACAGCTGCTCTCTGTTCCAACGTCCTTCATCAGCATAAACAGGCCTCCAGCTTCTGGGCAAGCACAAACTGATATGGTACACAATGATATCATGCCCTGTTTAACAAGCCAGGATGAACAAGAACCTTGGCTTCCCCTCATGACCCAATTCAAAGAGCTTATGGAAGTGGTTCTGGAATAAAACATCACCACCCAAACTGGAAAGTCTTTCAGACTCAAGCTTCCAGCGCTGTTTCTTTTCCCAGCCTGGATGAGTTTGCCGTGTTACCTGCATGGACGTTGCTGTGCTGGGCTAGTGAGGCTCTCAGGCCAAATGTCTTCCCACACACCTGGCACTTGTAGGGCTTGGCACCCATGTGGCACCGCTTGTGGCATTTTAAGTACTCATTGGTGGCTAAATGTTTTCCACACACATCGCATTTAAAAAGGCGCTCTCCTGAGGAAAGAGAGAAAGAAACTCTTGAGTTCTTTCATAGCAGAATTTTCTGCCTCAAAGTTGGTTTTCCAAGGTCTTTCTATTCCTAGTAGCTCTTTACTGGGACTGCAAGTCTCTTCCACCAGTTAGGAAAAAAAAAAGGGGAGGGGGATGCACCTTCTTCAAAGTCCAACCGGTAATTCCCAGGAGTAAAAAGGGAGGCGACAGGAGGAACAGAAGTATTGAACACCTACCCGTGTGGGTCCTTTTGTGGCCAGTGAGTTTGCCTTTATCAGCAAAGCAAGCCCCGCAGTCCTCACAAATATATGGCTTTTCCCCTGTGTGGGACCTAAACGGAGCCGAGCGGAAATCATTAATAAATTAGCTCTTTTAGTGCATTCTCCAGGTGTTTGAAATGACATTCTACATCCTACAGGCAGCATACTTAGAATCCTAGAACCATTCCGGTTGGAAAAGACCCTTGGGATCACCAAGTCCAACCATTGTCCCTACTCTACAAATTTCTCCCCTAAACCATATCCACCAACACCACATCCAAATCCAGGGATGGATTTGGATCCAGCCAGCTCCCTGGGCAGCCCATTCCAGTGTCTAACCACTCTTTCTGTGAAAAAAATGTTCCTAAAGTCCAGTCTAAACCTCCCCTGTTGCAGCCTGAAGCCCTTCCCTCTTGTTCTGTCACTAATTCCCTGTGAGAAGAGACCAGCACCAACCTCTCTACAATGACCTTTCAGGTAGTTGTAGAGACTGATGAGGTCTCCCCTCAGCCTCCTCTTCCTCAAACTAAACATTCCCAGCTCCTTCAAGCGTTCTTCACCAGATTGATTCTCTAGGCCCTTCACCAGCTTCGTTGCCCTCCTCTGTCCTTGCTCCAGCACCTCGATATCCCTCCTGAACTGAGGTGCCCAAAATTGGATGCAACACTCCAGGTGTGGCCTCATACTTCATACTTAAGTGGGAAGAAGTACACTCTGCTCACTCAGGAAATGGAGCATCTGCCAGTACTGGTGTTACACTAAGGTGAAAAAATTCCCATTTAAGGGTTACCTTTTCCTCACTCTGAGGCCACACAAAACCCACCTTTCTTTCCCAAGCTCCAGCTCATAGCATAAGCACTGGAAGGGAGAAAGCAGAGAAGACAGGCGGCTGCTGTGCTAGAGACTGAAAGTACATCCAGATTGTCCCCAGCAGATTTCTTGGGACACGGAGGGCCACATTCTTGGCTGCTGCAGTGCCCCTTTCTCATGTCCTCATGGCCTCCAAGCTTTAACTGTCAGTATATTCCCATTTTTAAGACAAAAGGCACTAAGGAACGCTGGGCAAGTAGTGTTTCTGAATGCATGCTGGATGTCTGAATTGAAACTTGTTCAAATCAGAGGAAGTCTGGGCCTAACGTTTGCTCTTAACAGCATACTGACTTCCCCTGTTCCAACCCAAATAGTAGGATGTGCAAAAACTTGTGTAATTTTGAGGTGTCATGCAAAATGCTGCAAATATGAGGCAGCCAAGTTACCCAACACAAACCTCATGAATCATTGTTTTGTTGCAGGCACACCGCATTTTTGCAGAGCAGCTCTGCTGCCTTTCAGCTGAGGTTATCTTGACAAGTCAGATGTTTTGCTGATCCTGGATCAGTATGTCTCAGAATTTTTTTAATCCCTGTAAGGGCACTTGGGAGGCAGAAGCAAGCTACTCTCCCAATTGTATGACTCCACAGTCTCTAGTAATGGGATTTCTCTCACTGTTGGAGGGTTTAGCCAACAGTTAATCTCCTCTCATAAGCTATCTGCTAGGCCCCCTCTTTTGGAGAAAGATGGGAAATTCCATGGGATGATTCACCCTCTCCTGGGAGAGGACACTTTTAACATGGATGCCAGCCATGAAGTATTCATCCAGCCTGGCCCCAGTGACTACAGAGGCAGCCCAGATGAGAAATCCAGCTTTTCTGTTGCACACAAGAAATGAAATCCCACACTAAGTGACTTTCTCAGAGTGACAAAGAGTGAGCAGAGTTCAGGTCTCTGAGGTCCGTGACTAACTCCTCAGCCTGTGCTACCTCTCATGGGTCAAGACTACCATCTTATTTTGAAGACTGTCTCCAGTGACTCTCTCTTGCTTACAAGATTGGCTAGGGTATCTCTTTCAAAATCCCTACCCAAAGTGAAGAAATGACCAGTTGCAGACAAAGCCTTTACGTAGAAAAATTAATCACAGATCCTACAGAACAAATTATATCGCAGTGTCCCTGGCCATGCAAGGAGAATGATTCAGACCAGGGAAGTCAGAAGAGGAAAAATAAGTATGCTGAGCATGCAGGGAGCGGTAAGGGAAGCAGCAGTACTGCAGGCTGACCTGGTATGGATCTTAAGCTGTGATGGCTGAGCAAATTTGGAATGACAAATGCCACATTCGTAAGGTTTTTCTCCCGTATGCGTCCGCATGTGGAAGACCAACGCTGTCCGGGAGCTAAGGATCTTCCCGCAGACAGAGCAGAGAGGCCGTTTGACTCTGCCTTCGTGCTTCCGCATGTAATGCGTCCTCACGTCCCTCTTTCTTTTAAAAGTGGCGTTGCAGAGAGTGCAGGCAAATTGCCTCTCTTCAGTGTGGACACAGGCTCGGTGCTCCTTCCAGCTGTTGTAGCTAGCAAATGACTTGCTGCAGATGTCACACTGATAGACCTTGCCAGGCAAGCACTGGTGGACATCCCTGCAGTGATCCACATACTTTTTCCGGGAAACAAACTGCTCGTTACACTTATCGCATCTTATTAAATAGGCAGATTTCTTATTCACCCCACTTTTATTTACCTTCTTAATTTTAAACTCTTCATCTGATTCATGTTCTTCACCATCCTTCTCATTAGAGTACTCATCATCTTCCTCAGTACAGGCCTCCTCCTTATCTCTACTGTCTTCAACTTCAGAATACCCCATTTCATCATCTACCTCCTCCTCACCCTTCACGCTTATTTCACCTTCATCTTCATTCCCTTCTTCACCTGTTTTTTCACTTCTTGCTTTACCTTCCTCATAATTCCGCTTCCGTTCTTCTTGCCCGTTGCTACAGTCTGTTTGGGTAGCAGCTGAACTCCTGGATCCTTCCTCACAATTCCCAGTCTCCTCATGCCTCGCACGCTTCTGTCCTTCAGCCTCTGACATCCCATCCCACGTCCCTCTGTCAGGGTCTTTGTCACAACGTGCTGTGTTTGGTCTATGTGCCGGTGGAACCACCATCCAATAGACAGGCAGAAGTTTCCTCTCTTGCCCAGACTCATGGATTTTTCTGTTAAAACAAACAAACAACAGAGTACAACTTCAATAGCTTTAATTGTTTCAGTTCAGACATGTTCGCCTTGGAGGAAGACTTGTTTCCTTCTAATTGTTCTTCACACCCTTTAAGAAATTAACAGCAGGTTTGGAGAGTGGGGAACAGGGAAATTGTATGTGAAGTTGTACCAGTTAATTCAAGAAAATTAAAAGGTCTCAGTTCATCAAGGATGGTGCCTCTCAGGCACTCATATTCACCATCTGACTGTTAACATAGGGGACACTGCAAATTTTCCTCCAAGGCCACGGTGATCAGGGTATGAAAATACGGGCTTAAAACAAGGGAAATATAGATTAAACACCAATATGGAAAAACAAAGCAGACCCTTTTGTAAGCCACCAGCTGCAGCAGGTAACTACACATCACTGCTTGCTGTATGGAACATGCTATGTCACTGCACTTGTGACACATCTGTGAGGTTTTTTTTCTGCTTTACTGAACTACAAATGAATTCTGACATTTTTTAAAATGGAAGAAAACCACCTGCACCACACAGGCAGGGTTCAGAGACACCTGACACATACAGTGGCTTTTGCAGCTCTGGAAATGACTGTGTCATTTCAACACGTTCTTTTCAGCCAGGCAGTGCTTAATCTACCTATGTGGAAGCTCATGCTACCCGGAAAAACAGCAAGCAGGATAACTTAGCCAATGAAAACCATACCAACCGGCACCACGCTGCTCTGACATTTATGAAATAGGCATTTTCTTGTGCATTCTGAACGGATGCTGATTCTTTTCAGGCTCCTGTTTAAACCCCCAGATCTGGGGCTTCCAACATCACCTAACAAATCTGGTTGCACAAGTCCCTTTGATTCAACGGGAAACGTTTGACTAAATTCCAAATCTGGGAGACTTCACTCCAGTAATCCAGGTTGAGAGCTTGATGAGGTCAATGGAAAAAATCTGTGACAATTTGAACACACTTCCAATCAAATCCAAGGAATTCTGTAACTAACATAGCAAGGTCTTCAGGAATTCTTTTATCCTGGTGCCTAGAGAGAAAACACGTTTTCCTGGGCACGAATGGACACCCCCCTCCCCGAGAATGCTGTACCTGACATGAGTATTGTAGGCAGACCTCTGAGCAAAGCTGGCGGGGCAGCACTGGCATTTGTAAGGCTTCTCTCCAGTGTGGGTTCGTATGTGGACCTTCAGGCCGCACTTGGAACTGATGAACTTATCGCAGTAGGGGCAGGCCTGGGGATCCCGCTTCTTCTCGTGCACCCTGCGGATATGGTTGCGTATGTCCTTCTGGCGCTTAAACCTCTTGTCACAGAACATGCAGAAGAATCCCTGCTGCTCAGGGTGAGCAGTGAGGCGATGCTGCTGGAGGTGCTGGTGAGTGGAGAAGAGCTGCTCACAGGCCTTGCAGCTGTGCTCGACAGTCAGGTTCACGTTGTGCTTCAGCTCCATGTGCGCCCGGTACTGCTTGAGGACACGGAATGACTCGTTGCACTTCTCGCACGCAATCTGTGGCAAGACTTTGGCCACATGCTGCTGGGATTTCCTATGTGCTGCTTTATGGGCAAAGTTGGAAATTAAACTGTTCTCATCTTCCCACCGCTCAGGCAGCGTGTTCCCAATTACCACACAGGCTTCATTTGACTCAGTCTGACTTAGGAGAAGAGGACTGTTATCGTTTTCCATGCCAAGCCTGCTTCCAGGATCTGTCTTGTCACATTTCAGTAGCTTTGCTGTGCTGGGTTTTAGTTGTGGAAAAGTAGTGCCCTCCCGCTCCAGGCTTGCTGATTTGCCTTCAGTGAGTTTGTAGCTAGCAAGCAACTTTTTATGTTTTTGCCTCTCCCAAAGTTTCCTCTGCACAGGTACTGCCACAACTTGGGAAGAGTCACTCAGTTTGTGGTTCTCCTCTTTCTGGATGTGTGTCCACTGTGGCCCACCGTTTTCACACAGCTGACCTTTCAGATGAAGGCTTAAATCCAACCCCTTCCTGCCCTCGGCTTTCACTTCTTCACATATGTCCAGCAAATCCTTGCATTCAAGCCTTTCAGCTATTTCTTTCATCCGCTGCAGTTTTTCTGCTTCAATCTCCACTTCTGCCGTGTAAACAAACTCTAGAAAGGAGGTGAACTCTTCCTTGTAAATGTCTTGCAGAGTCACTGTGCAATTCTTGGTGTCCAACATCTCATCATGCAGGAAAAGCCCCTTAAAATAATTGCTGGAAGCTGCCAAGACAGCTTTGTGAACCAGAAACTCCTCCTGAATGCCAAGATGTTGTGTGTGTACTGTCACATCACAGAGGTGACCAAACTGGTACAGAGAATGCAGTGCCCTCAGGAGGTTAGGAGCAGCAACCTTGGATTTCATTAGAATTTTCTTTTTCTCCATCCTGCCAGAAAAACAGACAAACGTTTGAATTCTTGCTCTCCTTCTATCATCTCTGGCCACTTACATAACATACGGGGGCAAACTATGTATCCAAAGATCACATTTTCTGAGGAGGCAATAGTGTTTTATTTGAAAAAATGTTTCCATTTCAACCAACAAAGGGATCCCAAGTTTGTTGACATTTTCAGAAAGAACAATCTGCATTTCCCCCCCAGCTCAACAGAGAAAGATACGAATTGTGATTACAGTCAATCTGATGCCCAAGAACTCTGTGGCTTTCCTGCCTCAACCCACAGTGCCACCTGCACACCCCTGAAACAAGAGGTGTCCTTTACCTGGGCTCGTAAAGCAGAAAGACACTGTCAACCTCACAGAGGCCTTTAGGTGCTCTGGTCTGTGCCTCTAAGCCAATATGCCTGACCTAGCATCGTTTTAAAACATCTGTTATTCAGCACATGCTTACAACAGTTTTATAACCAAAGGAAGAACATTAGGCCAAAATAAACAGAGGAATAAGTCTGTCATTTACTTCAAGGCTCCATTGAAGCTTGGCTTGCTGTGCTTCCCTCTCAGAGTAATAATGGCTGGCAGAAAACGACACCAAACCATACTTTCACTTCTCATCTAAATTCTGTTTGACATTATATTAAATACACTCCTGGCAGATATGAAATGTCTGATTAAGAAGACAAATGTGTCTTCAATAGAAAGCACCAGGAAGTCAAACACAATGCATTGCCCAGAGTGAATAGGTTTGAACAGCAAGCTGAAGAGATAACTTTGAGAATGCTCTTCCTATTACAATCTGCTACAGCAAGTGCTGTAGAGGATAATAATCTTCTAACCTGCAAGGCCTGAGTCATTCAACACCTGCGACACCTCAAATATTGTTTTAAAAACTGCATTTAAAGGCTTAAACTTATTTTTCTAATGACCCCATTAAGTGCCACTGAACGTGTGCAGTGACATTTGCAGGAAATGGGCAAGTTTTATCCTAGAAACTGTCAGTAAATTTGAGTTATGCAGAACTGCCAATATTTGTACTTAACTGGGGGGTTGATCCTGTGTGCTGGATGAACTCCACCCCAGTCAACAGGACTGCTTGGGATTTCAGCCTTCTTACCTAGCTGGTGCAGAACCTCCTCACAACTCACAAGTTCAGAGGTGTTTGATACTCAGAGAAAAGAAAACAACAATATCACTACAGTAAAAATACTCAGGGAAAGTAGCCAGAAGAAAAAGACAAAAAAAGCATGCGTTGAAACATCCCAAAAAGCTGCAGATTGAAGAGAGGTGGTATACAAAATAGCATAGTCAAAATCCTATCAGAAAAAAACCCATCCAGACTCCAATAAACATTCAATAATTATCACAGTCTTTGCCTTACAAATCCTGGCCAACACGCATCTTTAAAACACAGCCAATCCCATGTCTGCCAGCTATTCCCTACCAGTGCTCACCAGCAATGTGGAGACACAACCCTAACAGCTCCCACAGCACACTTGCAGGCTGTGGGAAGAAGTGCAGATCCGGGGTTTAATACCAAATTCAGCCCACAAATTCACAAAAGCTTCCACCTGGCTTGCTCTTCTTAACGTTCTCCAACAGGATATCCTTCTTCGTTTCTGCACAGAACTGATCCCACGCCTTCAACGCTCACTGATCAGTAGCACTTCAAGAAATCAATGAGCAGAGCATGTGCTAATTTCCTCCTTCCCCTTTTAAGATCCCCATCTGTGATAAATTCTTGATACACGCTCCCATGTGAGCTCTAAAATCTGATACTAAGCCAAACGGAGAGGTCCGTTCCAACATCAGCTCTTTCGTTCAGCTGGTTCTAGATTAAATCAGCCCAGAAATGGTTCACTGAAATGTGTTTCCAATGAAAAATGACACAAATTAACCAATTCTCACTTTTTTTCCCCTTCAGTTAGCATTGTTTTGTATTTTTTGTTACCATTCGGAAAGACCATTGACCTTTAGTTCTCCGAAGTGGTGTTGAATATAGTTTGTTTTCATGTTTTACAGTTTCATGATGCTGAGAGTCGAACACAATGTTTCAGGAATATAAAAGAATATGTAAGGTTTCCCCCTTCCCAAAATAAAAAAAAGTTCAGGTGATAGAAGACTTCAAAGTATTTTCCTTTCATTTTGGGGGTAAGGAAGCAGCTTCTTATCCCCAGTAGGTACAAAAAGCTATTTTCTCCTTACTCTTTATGCTTCATTAACCCTTAATGACACGAGAAGATTCTTGAGGAATTCACACCCCCAGCAACTGAAAGGAGGATGACAAATGTTGCAGCAAATAATCCAGTTACTGCATCAAACAGGACATATTTTATTCTAATGGCTTGTTAATGTTAGCTTGAAATAACCAATAATCAAATAGGAAAAGTACTGATAACATTATTAATAGGTTTAACTTCATGACTCTGTTAATGAACACCAGGCACCCTGGTTCACAGAATGGGTTCACAGCCCACTAGGAGAAAGAGATCACTGTGGATCACGAACTCGTTCCCACTTACCAAAGGAGCGAGCAAAAAGGAAGCTGGTTAGAGGTTAACAGCCCTAACACACCACATTCTGCTGTACCCTGAAGGTACTTTTGAAAGCAGCAAGCTGCTTGTCTCCAAAACACTGACTTCAACAAGAAGCTTTAAATGAAAACAGCATTTTTTCCACATACTGCATTTTACGTGTTTGTAACTTATTTGTACTCTGCCTGGTAATCACAGAATCACACTGAATTACTGAAGCTGAAAAACACCCCTGAGGTCACTAAGTCCAATCTATGGCCTAACACCACCACATTGGTTAGACGATGGCACTAAGTGCCACATCCAGTCTTTCCTTAAACACCTCCAAGGATGGTGACTCCACCACTTCCCTGGGCAGTCCATTCCAATCACCCTCTCTGTGAGGAAGTGCTCGTAATATCCAACCTAAACCTCCCCTGGTGTAGCTTCATGCCCTCTTGTCTTGTCGATAGTTGCCCAAGAGAAGAGCCCAACCCTCACCTGACGACAACCTCTGTTCAGGTAGTTGAAGAGGGTGATAAGGTCCCCCCTGAGTCTCCTCTTCTCCAGGCTAAACCACCCAAGCTCCCTCAGCCTCTCTTTGTAAGACTTTCCCTCCAGCCCCTTCACCAGCCTTGCTGCTCTCCTCTGGCCCTGCTCCAGCACCTCAGTATCTTTCTGGAAGTGAGGGGCCCATCCCTACTCCTGCTGGCCACACTATTCCTGATACAAGCCAGGATGCCATTGGCCACCTGGGCACACTGCTGGCTCATGTTTAACCAGCTGTCAACCAGTACTCCCAGGTGCCTTCCTGCTGGGCAGCTCTCCAGCCACTCTTCCCCCAGCCTGTAGTGCTGCCTGGGTTTATTGTGGCCAAAGAGGAGGACCCTGCACTTGGTCTTGTTAAAAATCATCCCTTTGGCCTCAGCCCATCAACCCAGCCTGTCCAGGTCCCTCTGCAGCGTCTTCCTAACCTCCAGCAGATCAACACTCTCCCCCAGCTCCCAACTTGGTGTCATCTGCAAATTTAGATTCTATGCCTTCATCCAGGTCATTAAGAAAGATATTGAATAGGACTGGGCCCAGTACTGATCTCTGGTCACTGGATGCCAACTGGATACAGCTCCATTCACCAACCAGTTTTTAACCCAGCAAAGGATGCACGTGTCCAAGCCATATGCAAGATATAATGAAAACATAATTAATCTAACAGAACCACTGCAAAAGAAAAACATACTTCAATTCAGTTGCAGTTCTTGATAAGGTCACTGGAATAAGTACAGCTGTTCTCAAAAATAAAGCCTAACAGCAGCCTTCAGTCTCCAAGAAGGGATTTCTATTTGCTCTCTGCTATAGCACAATTAAAAAAAATTTGATACAATTACACAGTCAATAGCAGCTCTCTAATTCAGAATAATTAACGCAGTAAATGAAGACTCTCGTAGGAAGGATGATAAGGATTTCTAAAACATCATTGCTTCTTGGATTTCCACTGTTCCTATCTACCTAGCAATTTTTGTGGGCCAGAGTGAAGGGACACACCCAAGTATATAGAGGCAAAAAATAAAAAACCCAACAGATCAAATAAATTGAATTGTATACCTCTAAAAATCTGTTATTTCAAAGAAATATGCCCTGTATTTTGAAAAGCACACATTGTCTTTGGTTGTTTGATTTGGCCCAAGCCTTTTCAATTTGATCTTGTGTTTCTCTTCAGAGAAGTGAGGAGGAAATTCTTCCTTATTTTCCCAGGAAGGGTTCCTTTAAACTTTCAATAGCATGTTCATGTAGAACAAAGGGCCCCGAAGTGAGATAATAAGCTAATATAGTTGAAAAAGAGCATGATGGGGACATACTATAAGCTGGAGTTACTCAACTGTATTAATCATCTGGAAAATTAAGCTTAGCCACAGGGTTCCTATATTATGGAGATATATAAAGTTAGGTAAGTCAGGACACGAAGCAAGTAGTAACAACCACACCTTTCTGGACTGCTTGTATGCTGCTGGGTAAGCTTAGGACTTGCCATCTCAATTTAAACACCATCAGACTTCTTGGCCAAATTCCTTGAAGAGTCTTTTTTTTTTAAATTTTTAAATTTTTTTTTTAATGGACAGAACTTTGAATTCTGTCTTGTTAAAAAAACATTACCAGACAAAACTGGTAATGCTCCTCACCTGAGAAAATCAAGGCTGGCCATGCTTTCTAGGTGGAACAGCACTGACACAATGCTATCTACTGAACACCACGCTGCATTATTCCTTTTGCCACTGACAA